GGAAGTGGTGCTGTGGCTCAAGTGGTAGAGTGCTAGCCTTGAGCTGAAGACCTGAAGGACAGTGCCCAGGCCCAGAGTTCAGGCCCCACAACCGGATCCAAAAAAAAAAAAAAAAAAAAAAGTTCAGTACTTCAATGCAATACCATTAAAAATTTTCCTTGGATCATGAAAAGCCCAAATCACAAACACATTCATGGCACAAAAAAAAAAAAAAAAAAGTGACAGATTTAACAATTCCAGACTTCAAACTCTACAAAGCTCTAGTAACAAAAACAGCTTGGAACTGGCACAAAACAGGCTCAAATACCAAAGGAACAAAAGATAAGGCCCAGAAATAAACACAGACATACAACCATCTAAAATTGACAGGGGAGCCAAAAACAGGATGGGGGAAAAGGCAGCCTCTAAATAACTGCTGTTGAGAAAACTGGACATTTGTGGCTGGAAACAAAAGCTGGATCCCTGTCAGCCAGTACTAATATCAACTCAAGATGAATCAAAGACTTCTAGCAACAGATACATTTAAATTAATAGCTTATAGATGGTACCAGATAGTGCATTTTTATAAAATGGTGTATTAAATGAGAAATTTTATATTATTTTTAAGTAAAGGAAAATGCAAAAAAAAGTCATATATGTTACTTTTGGAAATCTAACCACAGAAACACCAATCCTTTGAGCAACGTTTATAGGAAGGGAAAGGAAGGGAAGGAGCTATTTGTAATCATTTACAAAACTACAATGGAGTTTGCTGGCAGTGTTACCATTCTTGTAACACTCAGAATCACAAGATATCAATCACCTCACTTCATTGAGAATGGCCACTATCCAAAAGGAAAAACAGTGAGTGTTGAGGATTAGGAAAAGTGTCTTACACAGTGTTGGGAGAAGGTAAATTAGAACTATTACAGAAAGCACTGTGGTGGTATCTTGACAAATACAAAATATAATATTATTCAACCACGCAAATAAGCATGATGAAAATAGATGTGTGTGATTCTGTATGTGTAGAATAGACAGTTTATGAAATCAAACTAAGCATCCACTAACAGATGAATGGGCAAAGAAGATATGATATTGAATACACTGGGATACTTTCCACTGATGAAAATGAAATTTTGACATTTGCTGCAACATGGCTAACGTTGTAGAAATGTACATTAAGTGAAATAAACTGGACTTAGAAAATCAAGGCCTGTTTATTCTCATTTGTTAAATGTTAAGAGTGGATCTCCTGAGTGTGGAGAGAAGAGAGATGGGGAGGCTGACAGACATACGCAGATAGGAAAAATGAGTTTTATGGTTGATGTATCACATAGTAGGGTGATCTGTGGCTAATTATCTATGATGTATTACAAAATAGCTACAAGATTGCTGAATATTCTTGGCAGGAGAAATGGTAACTGTTTAAGGTAATAGGCTGAGTACATTGAATTATATAACACATGTATGCACTGAAATTCAACACTGTACCCATATATCAATTACTGTGACTCAATTAGACAAATTTCAGTTGCAGAGCCACAACTCTGCTGCATCACCATTTACCACTGCATTAGAGAAACTAAAGTACTCATCACTGTGTAGCTGAAATGAAGAAAAACCAGAAGGCAACAAAAGAGAAAGATGTCTCTGCTCCAAGACGTTTCTTCCTTCAGAAGTCACGAAGTACACTAACTTACGTACACACCTAATACCATTTCTTCACTCTGGGTACTTCTTTCTCTTACATGAAAGAAACAACACATTGTAATAATAACTTTCTCCTCTAAATAAATGTTAGATATTACAATTGTTCTTTCTCTGTGCGCCTTTCCCAAAAATGTCTAAACACACTCATGGCTCATGAATCTCCAGGATTCACCTCAACTAATTTGACTCAGGAAATTCATTACATTGTATGACATCTCTCATCAAACTGAAAGGAAGAACAAGAAAAGGGTGACTTACAAGTGTTCTATTGAGAAGGAAATGATAGATTATATTAATTGAAGAAATATGTTCTAATATGGTCAGTGTAATATAGATTCAAATGATTTCCTCAACACCATGAAATATCTTTTTTTTTTGGTCAGTCGTGGGGCTTGAAACCATGCAATATCATTAAGACATTTTTTATATACATGAAGTTTATATAAATAACACTTTATAAAGTACAATGAAGTCCTGCAGTAGTCAAACGTATAGGATTAGCATGAGGAAATACTAACCAAAACTGTGATTCTGAAAATGAATTCAGAAATATATGGGTTTTCTAGTTTGCTGATACATTACCAAGTTTTCAAAATTATCCCTTGTTTCATTATTTCCCTGTCTTCTCAATAAATATAAGTAAAACAAACACATATAATTAACATTTGTGCAATTCCCTTACTCTTGATGATTATATTTTGCTTATTACAGTTTATGTAAATGAATTCAAAGGCTTCTTGACAGAAGAAAAAATAGTTAAATTTTACCAACAGTACTTCAAGATTTAATAGGCTCGCTTATAATAGCTTCCAACTATACATTAAATATATTTAAAATTGGTAAACAGAAGAACCATCCTGCAAATTATTGAAGTTTACTAATAACAGGAAAAGGATGCCAGTCATTCCACTAATCCCCAATAGCATACTGTTATCTAAATCCTTAAGCAAGGGGAATGGTATAATGTTTATGACAAGGTAACGTGGCATTCAATACACAACAAAATTATACATTATCATCATTTTTATTTGCTAAAACAGTAACCCAAATATAGTATATCAAAATCCACTGCAGACTAAAAAAATACAAACCCTCAAGAAGCAATCATATTCCTCCCTTACTATGATCTATGTCAGAGCTCTGCTTCATGCAGTTCATAAGAAACTGTTCAGAAACTTGGATTTATATCAAAGTTCCTTCTTTTCAGAGATGAGTTATCTGCACCATCCTGATACCTGTGATCAAAGTTTATGCCTTTCAACCATATCAACTAATGAAATTATGACAAGGTTTTGTCAAATTCAACTGTAATAGGAGTTCAACTATAGTAATTCCCTTACATATATTAAGATTTGAGTTTAACACCAGTAATATCAGCTACTCAGGAGGAAGGGATAAAGAGAGTAACCTGGTTTGAGGCTAGTGTGGGCAACAGTTTGCAAGCACTCCATCTTAACAGACCAATTTTTTAAAAAGGCTTGACATGTGTTAGGTAAATTAAATAGGTAGGTTTAATTAGGTAGCCGATGAAGAGAACACCACGCAGTATTTAGGCAGGAAGAGAAATTTATTCTTTACTCAACTGCTGCCCCCCGCTGTGCATGGTGGAGAAGCACATGGTCAAAGGAACAGGCCAATGTTCCACCTGAGTTTAAGTAAGGAAGGGGCAGGGAGAAGGGGGTGACCTGGTGAGGGAAGGTGTGGTCACACTGGATGCAGATGTGACCTCAAGGCCTGGGACCTCCCCAGTCCAACAGGAGGTGTGATGGGGGTGGCCCGGGATGTGACCTTGGGAGAGGGGGTGACTGCCTCCAGGTGTGCCAGTTACCTAGGTGACACAAGTACTAGGTGAAGACTTAGCCAAGAGGAGGGTGGAGTCTGCCCTGCCTCCCCAGGGCAGAACTTACAACATGGTAACACTCATCTCTCGTCCCAGCTATGTAGGAAGTGGAAATAGGCAGACTGAGATCCCAACTGGCAACATGTAAATGTGAGACCTTATATGAAAAATGATAAGAGCAAAAGGAACATGAAGCACTGCTAGTAGTGCACCCATGTAGCAGGAGCAAGGCCCAAAGTTTAAACCCCAGTTCCATACATAAAGATATGATCAAAGGCTTCGCCGTACTCTATACTTGGAATGTGTTTCCCAGTATGTATGACTATTTTCTTCTTCGGAGGTGCATATACGTTGGACAAAGTTCCTTTAAGCCACCACATGAATGACGTTTCCATCCAGTGTGAATTTTATGATGTTGAATAGGAATGAGATTTATTAAAGGGGAAAAGGATTTGCTACATTCTTGGCATTTGAAGGTCTCTCCAATACAAATTCTTTGGTGTTGAACAAGAAAGGTCTAAGCAAATGTGAGAAGTTATGTCACATTCTATGTATCTATAACAGTGTTTCTCCAGTTTGAATTTTCTAGTGTTGAACCAGGCTTATTAAGGCTTTTGCCACAATCATTGTATTTGTAGGAAATCTTCCTAGTATGGATTATCTGATGTTGATTATGGTATGAAGAACAGTTAAAAGGCTTTGCAAATTACTTGTCCTTATTTCTCACCAGTATGAATCCTGTGAAGTTAAGGATTAAACTTTGAGTAAATGTTCTATTACCTTATTTACCTTTAGGTTTCTCTCCAGTGTGAATTCTCTGGTGCTGATTGAGATATGAAGAGCATTTAAAGGCTTTGCCACATTCTTTGCATTTGTAGGGCTTCTCTCTAGTGTGAATTCGTCGGTGTTGGTTAAGGTGGGAGGAACAATTAAAGGCTTTGTCACATTCTTTGCATGTGTACGGCTTCTCTCCAGTGTGAATTCTCTGATGTTGATTAAGGTGTGAGGAACAGATGAAAGCTTTGCCACATTCATTACATTTGTATGGCTTCTCTCCAGTATGGATTCGTTGATGTTGACTAAGGTGTGAAGAACAGTTAAAGGCTTTGCCACATTCTTTACATCGATAGGGTTTCTCTCCAGTGTGAATTCGCTGGTGTTGATTTCGGTATGAAGAATGGTTGAAGGATTTGCCACATTCCTTGCATTTGTAGGGTTTCTCACCAGTATGAATTTTCTGATGTTGAGTAAGGATTGAACTTTGATTGAATGCTTTGCCACATTCGTTACAAATATAGGGCTTCTCTCCAGTGTGAATTCTCTGATGCTTATTAAGGTGAGAAGAACAGCTGAAGGCTTTGCCACATTCTCTACATATATAGGGCTTCTCTCCAGTGTGAATTCTGTGGTGTTGAGTGAGGTATGAAGAACAGTTAAAGGCCTTGCCACATTCTTTGCATTTGTAGGGTTTCTCAACACTATGAATCCTCTGATGTTGACTAAGGAAGGCCTTTTTACTAAATGTTTTGCCACACTCTTTACAATTATAGGGTTTTTCTCCAGTAGGACTATTTTGATGTTGATTAAAGTAGGAAGAACAGTTAAAAACTTTGCCACATACTTTGCATTTGCAGGGCTTCTCACCAGTATGAATTCTCTGATGTTGACAGAGGTATGAATAGTTACAAGTGTTACCACATTCTTTACACCTGCCAGGTTTCTCTCCAGTATGAATTCTCTGGTGTTGAATAAGGGCTGAGCAGCTGTTAAAGTCTTTGCCACATTCTTTGCATTTGTGGGGTCTATCTCCTGGAGGAGCCCTCTGAAGTTGATAAAAGGTTGAGTTGTCAATAAAAGCTTGTCCACATACATTACATGTATAAGGTTTGTCTTGACTGTGGATGCTTTGATAGATAGTAAGTTTTGAACATTGATGAAAGCCTTTCCCGCATTTGATGCATTTGTAAAAGTTCTTTGGAAAAAGAGTATAATGATGTTTACTAGGATTTAAGGCATGTTTAAAATCTTTGTGAATTTCATTACAATGATTAGTTATTTTCTGAGAGGACAGATGTTCTTGGTCTCTGACAGCAATGGACGTTTTCTTGTTGTGGGCAGCTATCACACACTGGTTATGTCTATTGTGACAGACTTTCTGACTAGTACATTCAACCACATTGTCCAAAGCTTTCCTTAAATTTAAATTGCTAAGTCCGTGCTTTCCATGTCTTCCTTTTATTACTTTTTGTAATGAATGCTTTTTGCTTGGCTCTGTGCACTGAGAAGACACAGCTGAAAGAAACCAAAGTAAGAAATGGTCTCACTACACTCAAGTAAATACAACTTATAAATTTAGTATTTAAAAGGCTATGACATTTACGAGATAGAGAAGTAGCTAGCACAGTAAACAGGAGTCCCATATTTCCACATGGACATATGCATTTAATGAAAGTATGGTGACCACATTGCCTTTGCGAGAACTTTCAAAGCTAGTTATATGACTTCACAGCAGCCCAGGTGAGCACAAAAGTAAGGAGAGCATAGACTAAAGTAGAGTTTAGTGAACCACACAGCTCTTCTTTCCAGCACTGTGCAGTTAGAGAAAAAATATGACAACAAAAGAAAAACCCTGTCAACTCCATTCCTCTCCCTCAGAAGACAAAAGATTAGAACAAATCAAGTATTTTTCACATTCTTGGGAACTATCTGAAGACTGGTTTTTGCATCCTCTGAAACAGTGTGGAAGGTAACAATTATAGTTACATATAGGATGAGAGCTCAGGTCAGAGGAGACAGAAGTGTGTAGTTACTACAGTACCAAGAAGATGGCAGAACCACCAAGTGTCTCCTACAAGGAGTCCATCCTTGTAGGATGTCTGGTAAGCATTAATAACTTCTAGACTTCTGGTTTTAATGAAGAAAATTGAGGGGAAGATGCACATTGGTGGTATGGACAAGGTAATTTTTATTACATTTCCTTTTCTGTCCTTTTTGAGGATATGTGCACTCTTATTTCTAAATGAGCTGGCCTGATGTATTGTGGCCTACATCCTAAAGTCCAGTGTCTCATCTCCAATTTCCACCTGGCAGCAGCTGCAGACTGCATGTTTGTCTGTATTGAAAATTCTTCTCTACAGATATGGTAACATAACAATTTGAATATACTTAACTCTACTGAATAGTACACTAAAGATATTTTAAAAAGTAATTTTATGTTTCGTGGTTTTGATCACAATTAAAATGAAATGACAAAACTCAAGATAACTCAATTATACATATATATATATATATACACATATATATGTGTGTTTGTGTATATATATGTATGTGTGTGTGTGTATGTATATATATATATGTTTTGTTTTGTTTTCTTTTTTTTTTCTGTCAGTCATGGAGCCTGAACTCTGGGCCTGGGCACTGTCCCTCAGCTCTTCGGCTCAAGGCCAGTGCTCTACCACTCTACCACTTGAGTCACAGCACCACTTCCGGCTTTTTTTGTTTATGTGGTGCTAAGGAATCAAACCCAGGGCCTCATGCATGCAATGCAAGCACTCTACCACTAAGCCACCTTTCCAGCCCAATTATAAATATTTTAAGTTACATTTAAATCACGAAAGAATTTCAATGAAGCAACACATATATCAATAAATAGGGGAAATGAGGATAATTTCATTTAGAATGAATATTCTCTAAATATTCAGTCATTCATTAAACAACCACCCAGAGCCAACCAACAGAGAAAGTATGGTCACTGCTGGGCACTAACAGTTTACACTTCTAATCCATTACTCAGGAGGCTGAGATCTGAGATTGTAGTTCAGAGCTAGCCCAGGCAGAAAAGTCTGTAAGACACTTTTCTCTAATTAATCAGCAAAAATGGTAGACTGGAGGCAAGGTTCAAGTGGTAGAGAACCAGCAGTGAAAGAGCCAAATGAGAGCAAGAAAGACACTAAGTTTAAGTCCCAGGGCTAGAAAGGAAAGAGAAAAAGATGAATGAAGAAAATACGGTCCAAAAAATTAGGGGAAATATTTATACAAGAAAACAATATGTTTAACTGTATTAGAAACAGGCATATGACTCATAACTACTTTAGTTACACTATACACTGTCCTAAAGTGTACAATATTAAATGCCATTAAACTATAACACATAGGTAAAACTAAAACTATTGTCAACTGATAATTGAAGGACTCTACATTAAAAAGTGTGGAATTGCCAAACAATGACTACACGCTTATGTGCTGTAAGAACCTTGTAGTTAAGTATTATGTTTAGCTATAACTATAAACACATGAAAAAGCATACATTTGAAACTACTGCCATTCAGTGTTGGCAGGAAACAATGACAATAATCTGTAAGTATTGATAAAGAATTCTGATGAAATCATTTTGAGATACTGCGTGGATTAACTAGGGAAAGGTCTCTATCACATTTTGATAGTGATTCCAGAGAGGTCACTAAGTGTGTATGCAGGTGGTTTGAAGTCCACTAAGCATTGAGCAATCTTCACATTCTGCAGCTCCTCACAGGCTGTTCCTGCTGCTGTGCTGGGAGACGGCTGTGGGGTGTCAGGAAGCTACAGGACTTAAAGCACTAACAGCACAGGGCAGGAGATGTCTTCCTCTCAAAGCATGAGACATAAGAGCAGCTTCTATCCAAGCTGAGCTCCTCCATTTATACTGTACAGTCTGACTTCCTCAGTGATCTTAAACCCTCTCACCCGTGTCCTCTGATTCATTTCCTCCTACCCACCTGGATATACTGCTCCTGCCTCTTGTCTCTTCAGATTCCAAGGCTCTTCCCACTCCTCCAGAAATGTGATAAGGTATGGCTGCGAGATAGCAAGACCTGCTTGTTGCAAAAGAGATGATGCTTGCCTGGCATTCTCCCAGTGGCATTCTGCCCCTTCTGCATCAGTTCTGTACTTTAGTGAGAGAAGCACTGCCCAGGCTGGCAAATGAATTCACAAGCAGTCCCTGACAAGCATGCAACCTGCAACTGCTGCCGGGTGGAAGCTGGAGATGAGACACTGGACTTTAGGATGTAGGCCACAACACAGCAGGCCAGCTCATTTAGAAGTAAGGGTGCACACATCCTCCAAAAGGACAGAAAAGCAAATGCAATAAAAATTACCTTGTCCATACCACCAATGTGCATCCTCCCCTCCATTTTCTTCCTTAAAACCAAAAATCTAGAAGTCACTGATGCTCACCAGACATCCTACAAAGGAGGAAGGTTGACAGGAATTAAGGACTTTGTAGAGAAGTTACACTCACCCAGGGAGACCAGGTTTCTGTAGTTCTCCAACATCACATCCCTATACAAAGTACACTGAGCAGGACTCAGGTATTCCCTCTCCTCTGGAGAGAAGTTAATGGACACATCCTTGAATGACAACAGTTTCTGAAATAAAAATAAAAATGAATCACTGTTTATTGTGGTCCAGGGGATTAGGCTCATGGCCTCTACCACCTGAGCTATGCCTGTGCTTTTACTTGGTCTGAAACAGTTTCACTTTTGCCAATGCCAGGGATGGACCATTGATTTCTCCTACCTCTTCCTCCAGAGCAGTTAGGATTACAGTCATGTACCACCACACCAAGCAGAGTTCTTCATTTGACTCAAGATGAAATAAGAACTTGTTCTGACCTTAACTATTCAGTAAAATACTTACTGACACTAAACATTCTCTCACGCTTTTTTTGACAAGCAGCAGCAGCATAGGGCAGGGGTTTGAATTTAGGGCCTGGGTGGTATCCCTGAGCCTTTTTGCTCAAGACAGTGCTCTACCACTTTGAGCCCACAGCTCCATTTCCAGTTTTTAGGTGATTAATTGGAGATAAGCCTGCCCGAGCTGGCTTCAAACCACAATCCTCAGATCTCAACCTCTTGAGCAGATAGAATTACAGGCATGAGCCACCAGTGTCCAGCTCTCTCATGCTTTTGATGAAAGAGCATGACCTAAGATCCACTCACCAGTACCAGACACAGACTTACATGAAATAGGAAAAGTAAAAAGTGGCACCAACACAGGAATGCTCACTGTGCTGACAAGTCAACACAGCACTACATAAGTGCCAAATACAGTAAACCATAAACTCTCATGCCAATCTACTCCCCAGATGTTTTATATAAAGCTCAAGTTGTCTATATAGTCAATGTTTGTTATTTCATATCGTGGATATAATCATTTTTAACATTCTCGAAATGCTTCTATAGCTACTCTTCTCTAACATTTTGTTTGATTCTAGGAAATCAATGTACTCTTCTTCTGTAAATGACTATTTTATAAAGTCTTATTAACATAAAGCTAATGGAGCATGTAGGCAGGAAATACCATAGTGTGTTCTAAGCAGCTTCCTGACAAGGCACTTTGCACTAAAGTTGTGATGATCTGTCTTGTTTGTTACACTGACTGCATATTCTATTTAGAGCTATAAACAATTTCCAAACAATTCTCTTTAGTAATAAGAACAAAATCCCTGATAACCACACTTGGCTTCATTCGGTTTCTCTCTTTTCTCTAAGCCCCTCCTCAGAATGAGACTACAGCCATCATTTATGACTATCCCCAAGAGCAGGCTGGCTTTCCCATGTTCTGGGATCTGGATTTTCTTTCGTTTTGTTGGGGTTTTATTAGGCCTGAGACCAGGAATCAATATTGGTACCTGATGCTTTTACTCACTGGCTGGTGCTCTACCAACTGAGCCACACCTCCGACCTCTGGGATCTAGATTTTCTACCTTCCTCCACTCTTCCCTGTGCCCACCTCCTCTCTACTTTTCTTTGCTCCTCCCTACAGAAGCCAGTTTATTTTTTGTCTAACCTTTGACATGTTTGTAGATCTTGTATATGGTGCTTTCTACCTACTGAAATACTTCCTTTGAAGATGTTCATGTCTCTTTGCATTGCTATCTAACTCAAAATCATCCAAGACAACACCCAACATTAATGCAGGGAAAAATAAATCAGTTCCTAGAACATGCTGCTGCTGCTTGTCAAGTCCTTTGAAATCAACATGTCATCAAATCCAGCACCCTTTTGAACCAGATGTATTTAATATTACATATTAATCCATAACTGAACTTATTGTTTTAGGGATGAGCCCACATTAGGCTGGGCCTACTGCTAATTCTCTCTGCAGGACCTTGGAAGGGTCCTGCCTCTGACTGGGCAACTCTGCTTCTGGGGGAGACCTGGATGTTCACTGGAGCACTTTGGTTCTCTTCCCCATGGAATCATCCTCCAGCAAGGAGCAAGGGCTGATTCTTATGGAGAAGACAGACTTAGACTAGTCAGATGCATTCAAGGCCCACAACTGGTATACTGGCATAGTCACACTTTCAATTGGACACACTAAACAAGGTCAGCCAGATCCAAGCCAGCCTCTGAAAGTGGCTGTTAGCCCATTTACAAGAGTAGACATACAGGGAATGCCTAGGAACTAATTTGTAATCAGTATTACCCTGTCTTTTCTTACAGATAAGTTGTCTCTGACTGTTTTAAAACAAGGAGATTATCTAGAGGCCCTTAACCACTGAAAGGCCAGCCTCACACACCAAAGCTCAGAAACCTCTGGACAAGCCTGCACATCAGTTTCTGTAGAGCTTCCAGACATTTAAGAATGACATTTGTGCCACAGAAGTTAGCTTCCCTTTAGGTTTGCCTCCAACTGCTACTCTTCACTGCATGGCTATTCTAACAAGAATGTTCCTCAAGTGCCTTCAAAACCTAGGGATAATATGGGAAAGTAACAGGGCTCAGGAACTGTGACACATGACACATTTGTGAACATGTACAATGCAAAGTTTAAATCCTTTGTGGTACTTATATGCTATTCATGATCGTTAGCCTAGATTAAATCAAATTACTATGCCTAAAACAACCCCTTGCTTGGAAAGCAAGTGACCAGGGTAGATGAGCTGAGAAGACGTCTTTCCTGCTGCAACTTATCCAAATGGTTCCGTACAAGCCCCACTTGGAACAAACCAAGGAATCAGAGCCCTGAGGGACCCGGGCTCTCATGGTTATTAAGAGCTCTCTGGAATTAGAGTGTATACTCTAATTCCAGAACTAAAATTGCTGCTTTAACCCATTAAGTTATTAACTCACCGTTAATAGTTTCTAAAATGAATGTAAAGTATTTGCTCCTAACTGTGGCCTGTCAGATTTATCCACTGTGTTATCCAGATTTCCCTTCCCATCACAAAAAGCTGTACTTTGGGCCCACAATTTGGGAGGTTCCCATTCAACTGGATCTCTTACTCTGTAGTGAGGGAGCACATCATGGTAGAAAGGGATACTCCAAGAAAAGGTGATTGCCTCATAGCAAGGAGGTCAAGAGACCAGGGATGAACAAACCCATTCCAGCACATGCTTCCAGGTGACGGAACATCTCACTAGGTCTCAGCAGCATCGCTCTGGTGACATGGGCCACTGGGAACCGTCCATCCAATCACAACAAACACATTATCTAATAACTAACCCACTCCAAAAACTCACCTGCAGTACTCATTTCACTTCTTAGTCAACTCAGTTCAACTACCGAGGGCACACTAAGCACAGGGAACACTGTACAGGAGAAGGATTAGGAGAGGAGGGTTGCACTACTTGAAATAGAAACCAGATATGACTTACAAATGAAGGCTAAAATGGAAAGACCTAAGGGGCGACCCAAGGGCTAGGATATAAAGTAATCCCTCTGAATACTAAAATCTCTCTGATGAGAAAACATATCTCACTTTAAAACAAAACCAAAATGTAGCTGTGATTGTGAGATGCTGAATTAGGATTTTTGCATAAATAGGTATTTTAAACTTTAAGGCATCAGAAACTATTAGAAAGTGTTAACAAGAAATAAAACCAAACCTTCCTTAGGACCACCCTAACCATTCTTGCACCCTCATCCCCAAAGGTAATCAAGAGCCTAAGAACTCTATCAACCAACTTGTCCTTTCATACAAGTGCTGCACTGCTTGAAATTTTAAACAAATAAGATGAGTAGTAAACACATCTGTAACTCAGATTCATCATTAAATAATCATTTAGGATATTTGAGGGGAGAAGGGGATAAAGTTTTGCTATGTTACCGAACCCTGGCCTTGAACTCCCAATCATCCTAAGTACTGGAATTACAGACATGAACTACCATGCTCAACGTACTTTTATTTCCTCTTTGCTTCTACTGTAGAACTCCCCATCTCATTTTATTCATTTATACAATTACTTAGTTACTGAAGATGAACTTTATATTGTATATTATATGTTAAATAAAACATAATGAATGATAGTAACTGTATAGTACTGGCAAATAAGCCCATAAAAACATTCACTGCAATTTTGAAAACTTTTATCATTCCAATAAAATTATGTTGTGTTTCTCCCTAAGCAACTCTCCTCCAGATGGAACTTCCTGTTGACATTTTTTTTTTCCTTTTGTGCCAGTACTAGAGCCTGAATGTTACCCCTTAAGTTTTTTCACTCAAGGCTGATACTCTACCACTGGAGCCACAACACCACCTCCTATTTTTTGCTGGTTAATTGGGGGTAAGAGTCTCACATACATTTTTACCAGGCTGGCTTAAAACCACTATCCTGAGTTCTCAGCCTTCTAAACAGCTTAGGATTACAGGCATCAATCACCAGCACTTGGCTTAACTAACTCTTAAGAGTTTTAGAACATGGTATTAGATATGATACAGAAATCCATTTTTCTAAAATTATTAGTGACTACCTGAAAGAAAAAAAAAATCAAAGCTGAGTGCCACCTGTAATCCTAGCTACTCAGGAGGCCAAGATGCAAAAATTGGGGTTTGAAACCAGCTTGGGCAGGAAAGCCCATGAGACTCTTATCTCCAATAAACTACTCAGAAAATGCTTAAAGTGATGCTGTGGCTCAAGTGGTAGATTACTAGCCTTGAGCAAAAAGAAGCTCAGGGACAGAGCTAGGCCCTGAGGTCGAGCCCCAGGACTGGCCAAAAATTAAAAAAAAAGGAATTACAAGTAAGAGTCTAAAAATACACGTAGTCATTATTGAGCTAGAATACAATTTTACGTTAGTACACATAGCAGAATCATTGACAAATGTGTGTATACACAAAGGTATACATTATTGAAATCAATGCTCTCAGTTTTTGTTATTTCTGTCTGTTCTTCTTGACTTCTTAAGATTTACTCCAATAACTGATGAATGTTTCCTCCCACTGACTCCTAAGGCCAGTACAACACACCTGCTGGCAAGGAGCAAGGCTCAGATGGCATAAAACCTCACTACCTAAAGTTGTCCAAGGTGTAAAAGGGAAGTATTTGCTTTTGAGCAACAACAGGTTCTCCCATAACCACTTCACTTTTATAAAAACAAAGACACAAAGGCTAGGAATGATGTCACATGACATTAGAACTGAGAAAAGAGTCCAGGGGAAAAAAGCTCCTTTTGGCGGTTTCGGTCAGGGTTACATGAAAAAAATGAATGGAGGAGTTGGTTTTCATTTTGGCATTGTGGAGGCTAAGGTGTCCTACGGTACCTGAAAAGGAACCTCTCATCCAAAGGGTAAGGAATAAAACTTAACTGCAGGGTAGGACAAATGTAGAATAAGATGCAAAATTTAGTAGAGAGAAAAGAGTAGCAAAGTTCATGAAAATATGAAGAACCTCTCAGCAAGGTAATGTTCGAAACATCAAGAATAATTTTGCAAATATAGCAGAAAACTGAAAACCTAGAAAACAGTCCTTAGATTTTTACTACAGTTTAACTTTCTGATTCAATAAAATAAAAAAAAAGTCTATCATTTTCAAAAAACTGACCCAAGGCCAATCACTGGATCACACCTATCCTGCTAGCTACTCAGGAGGCTGAGATCTGGAAATCATAGTTCAAAGGCAGAAAAGTACATGAGACTCCATCTCCAAAATAACCAGGAAAAGATAGGCCGGGGAGTATGGCCCTGGTGATAGAGGAATAGTTGTGAGCAAGCTAAAGCAAGCATGAGACTCTGAATTCAAATCTCAGTACACACACACACACACACACAAAATCTGATCCAAGGTAACCATAAAAATAGGTTAAACGTACAAATGAACAATAGAAATAGAACTTTAACAGTCTATGTTACAAGCTACATATTGAAACAAGGTAAAAGAAACATGGAGTTAAGAATCCATAGCAGATGCTACCCAGGTTTCACCCATGCATCAGTGGAGACTTCCAAAAGCTGTGTGAGACCGCACTACTTTAGCAACTCCAGGAAATCTTTTTAACTGACTGTGTTACAGCACTAGGTGTGTGACACCACTGCAGTATGCGGTGCTTATTTCCAAGATGGCAGAGAAGCACTCTCATCTGCATCACTTATCTTCCCAGAGAAGACTGTTTTAGATTTTGCATCTGTGTGAATTTGGCAGGGTCATATATAACAAAAAAGATCAGAACAAAAGACACTCAACTTAGATGCTTACAAGGTACCATAACAATGTCAATGTATAGTCCCCTGATATCCAACTCCTTTTGGTTTTGGTTTTTGTCAATCATAGAGCTTGAACTCAGGGCCTGGGTACCGCCTCTGAGTTCTTCTGCTCAAGGCTCGAACTCTACCACTTTAAGCCACAGCAACCCTTCCAGTTTTCTAGTGGTTATCTGAAGAGTCTCACAGACTTTCCTGCATAAGCTGGCTTCAAACCATAATCCTCAGATCTCAAGTCTCCTGAGTCACTAGGATTACAAGTGTGAGCCACAGGCACCTAGCTGATATCGAGCTTTTTTATTCTGATTTTTGTACCTTCTCATTTTGATTAATGAAAGCTTGTAAAACAGAATAAAAACAAGCTGAAGAAAAGTAAGCAAACTTACCACTGATGTTTTCATTTTCATTGTGCATAGAGACCTATGTGGAGGGCTGTGGAGTCACATATGGATGGATGATAAGGAGAATGAAGGCATGATGGGAAGGGAAGCCTCACAGCCAGATTCCACTGTACAAAGATCTCTACATGGAAGCTACAGGGAAACAAAAACAAAAACATACAAAACTCGTCTCTCACCTAAGAAAAACTACAGGATAGACCATGGTAAAAGGAGCATACCCAATTCTATTAATTGGAAGAGATTAAACACAAAATTTACACTTTAGTTAAGCATGTATTTGCTACTAAGTAACAACGTTATGGTAAAGAAATCATTTAAAATTTTAAGGTTGGATGGTGGTTCACTCTAGACAGTAGGATCAATCATTGCCTATACTATTCAAAGCAAGGATCTTCCTCTTACTGGAATCTTCTGCTTCTGTTCAGAGATGCTATTGAGAGGTTTCAAGCCAGAAGGGTATTCAGGAGGGCTTTTTGTTCCAAGCAAGCTTCTTCCAAACACTGTAGCACTTATTTTATCCAAAAAAAAGAAGAAGAAGAAGAAGGGGGGAGGGGACTATCAAAGAACTCACTGTCCCTGGTGTTAGCATTTTCCTTACCTCTGGTCCCCAGCTTCACCCAGCCCTGAGCTCTCCCTGCCCTAGAGTCCCCACCATATAGCTCCCTCTCTGTGCTCAGATCTACTTACGCAGGTGCCTTGCCGCTAGTCTCAAAGCTCTGGGACTGGATAAGGACAAAAGCCATATGGTCCCTCTCCCTGGGGAGATATGGCCCCTCTAATAAATCTTATCATAATCTTTCTCCTGTGCCTGCTTGCCTCCCTGTGGTACTCTGGGATGGTTGTGATGGATCCTAACACCTGGAAATTAAGTAATTTATAAACTTCTGTATTACACAAACTATTTTATAAACTTCTCAAACCAATAGTGCTCAGCAGGCTATCAAGTAGAGAGGTCCAGATTACCCAATTGCTTCAGAGACATTAAAAAAAAATCCTACAGGTACAACTACTATGTAAAAGACTTAGTCTAAGCAGGACTCCAGTGTCTCATGCCTGTAATCTCATCTACTCAGGAAGCTAAGATCTTAGATTCTTGGTCTGAAGCCAGCCAGGGCAGGAATGTAAGATTCTTATCTCCAACTAACCAGCAAAAAAAAGGTGGAACTGGAGCTGAGGCCCACGAAGGAGAGCATTAGCCTTAGGCAGGGAAAAAAATAAACTAAAATAAAAGGCTGAGTGGCAGTTCCCAAGCCCGGAGTGCAAGCCCCAGGGCTCATGCACACGGACGCACACACGCATGCACAAAACCTCCAGTCTAGGCTAATAACCAGATCCTTCTTTGGCAGAGCTAGAACTCACCCCACAGACCTCCCAGGCTCCCGTGATCAGCAGGCCCACCCTTGCCCTCGGGCCATCTTGGACTCGTCCATCCCTTGTACCGAACCAGCTTTGACACACACAGGCCTTCCGGAAGCACGCCATATTCTGATAAGAAAATCAACGAAAGCCAGGCCCTGCGCCCCTCTTGGCCTGGCCCTGGCCCTGTGGGGCCTGGCACCACCGCGGCCCGCCCCGGCCCGGTGCCACCCAAGCCCATGGACCCACCCACATCTCTGCTCCCGTCCAGTGTGGGGACACCCTTCCCAGAGACGCGCCCCACCCCTGCAGGGCTCGCTCTTTGCCCCGCCCAGCACCAACCTTCCTGCACAAAGAACCTCACTCTCTCTCAGCAGGCACCACAGCTTCCAAACAACACCACCGCTTCCAGGCAACACAACTACCACACGGGTGTCCTGGCAAAGATGGCGAGGGTGGGCGGGGAGACGCAAGCGCAGAAGCAGCCTGAAAAAGACGAGGGGAGTGGGGGGGGCCAGTGTGTGACGTCATGGGGCTCTGGAAACTACATTTCCCATAAGTCTGTGGGCTAACTTCCGGAAGCCAGGCAGGGTGCATTTTCTGGGTTGTCAGCAAAACTGACTGTAGTTTCTATAAACTACCGATCCCAGTTCATCCCTACCGGCCTGGCCGCCACAGGTGACTCGACGTCTGTTTTTATTCCTGGATTGCCAAAAATGAAAGAAGTAAAATGTGGAGATACGTACATATTAGTTGAGCCTTTGGCAATAATTGTTAGCTTTATTTCTTCATTCTGATCATTATTCTGTAGTTTAAAACCTCCTGTCTACTTACTATAAATGCTAAATAAAGCCTAGGAAATCCCCCCACACTGCCTGTTTTCTGATGGTTAATTAGAGATAAGAGTCTCACAAATTTTCTTGCCCAGGTTGGCTTTGAACACTGACCCTCTGATAATCAACCCCCTGAATAGTTAGGATTATAGGCACCAGCCACCAGCAGCCTGGCCATTTCTGGCTTTTTGCTGATTATATGAAGGTAAGCCTCTCATGGACTTTCTTGCAAAGGCTGGCTTCTAATGTCAATCCATAAACAGGTCCATATTTTAAAATAATTTTAGAATTATAAGGAATACCTATTTTGGCTACACTTGCCTAAGGGTTGGGGGTTGCTAGTTATAAGTCCCCCAGCTCAGAAAGAAAAGAGGGAGCAGGTAACAGCTGCCATTTTGAATCTTTAACTCTCATTTCTTGCTTAGGGAGCCAGAAAAATATTTCTCTCTCTTTCTCACTCTCTTATGCTTTTGCTCCTTCTCCCCTCCTTTTCCCTCCCCCTCCTTCTTCTCTCTCCCCCTCTCTCCTTCCTCTCTCCCTCTCTCTTCCCCTCCTCTCTCCCTCTCTTCCCCCCTTTCCTCTCTCCCTCTCTTTTTCCCTCCTCCATTTCTTCTCTCCTCCCTCCCTTTCTACTCCCCCACTTCCTCCATCTCTCCTTCCTCCCTCCCTCCCCACTCTGATTCTCCCTCCCCCTCCTATTCTCTCTCTCCATCTCTCCCTTCCTCTTCTCTCTCTTTCCCTCTCTCCCTCCCTCCTTTTCTCTCCCGCTCTATCTCCCTCTCCCTCTCCATCTCTTTCCTTCTGTCTGTCTCTGTGTCTGTCTGTCTGTCTGTCTCTCTCTCTCTCTCTCTCTCTTCCCCCCTATTCTCTCTCTTCCTCTGCCTCCTTTGAGCTCCCAGTAGCTCAGTAAGCAAATTGCACCGGTCCCATATGTGTAAGAATGCATTTTCCTGCTAAGAGCAAACTCCTGCAATAGGATCCAGGATGCTTAAGATTCCCAGTAATTCTAATTACATAGGTTTAGGGAGCAAGAAAATGGGCAGCAATTGTCTGTCATCAGATGCAGACCTGAAGTGTTCATGGAAAGCCCAGAAGAGGGGTGGGGCCTCTGTGGACATGGCCCTAGCCATTGCAGGGAGGGGGAAACTTGGAGATGCAGGAGCTGCACTTGTCCTTTAGGAAGAAAAATTATTTCAGTTCTCCTTTGAGTGAGGTTCCCAGCCACCAGATTTTGTGGGTCAGCAAAGCCTGGTCCTTCCTTGGCCTCCAAGCAGGAGCTATTTTATCAAAGAGAAAGATGAGACTAAAATTCAAGAAAGAGAAAAAACTGCGTAGTGGGAGTTTCCTGTTCCTTTGGATCCTGGAACTCCTTGCCTTCTTAGGACTTGGATTTCCTAGTACAGATCAACCAGAAGACATACACATACTTCCAGGCTTCCTATACCCACCTGGTCCCCCACTTCACCTCCTTTTCATGGGATATGGTCTCCATGTTTAGACCAGGATGATGTTGAATCCATAATCCTCCTGCTTTGGCGCTCTCAGTGCTGGATTACAGGCATGCACCACCATGCCTGGCTGTTTGAATCTTCCTTTCAAGATAGCTCTTTTCCCTCCATGTGCTTTCCGGGACCATGTGCTCCCTATGAACCTGTCCTGGGCCCTACCTGGTGACAGGACAAAGCTAGCTCACAGCCACCAGAGAGAGCTGATTACAAGCATCTCTTGCTAGGTAGGTGGAAATCATGGTGGAAATATTAACATCATGGACATTGGCAGGCACCACTAACCAGAGTTCTCTCCCTATGGAGCCTGTTGTTAAACATTTATCAACACACCCTGAGAGCTACCATTCCTGTCTGCAAAGCCAAGGTATTTGCTAATTATAGACATTAGTATCCTTGAACTTAGATTGTGTGTGTGTGTATGCACGCGCGCACGTGTATGTGCGAACACACACACACACACACACACACACACACATGCTGGTCCTGAGGCTTGAACTCAGGGCCTGGGCACTGTTCCTGAGCTTTTGAGTTCAAGGCTAGTGCTCTACCACTGGAGCCACAGCTCTACTTCTGGCTTTTGTGGTGGTTAATTAGAGATAAGAGTCTCATGCACTTTTCCAGCTGAGCTGGCTTCAAACAGCGATCCATAGATCTCAGCCTCCTAAATAACTAAGTGTAACAGACAAGAGCCACTAGTACTGGCTTAAACTTGGAAAAGATTTAAGGAATGATATGCTATTTGTACTTGGAGCAAGAAGCATGGGAAACTGATAATCAGTAGATAGTCTTTCTTCCTGCTTGCTATCTTCCCTCCTCCAACATCTAGAAGTCCAGTATCTTCCCCTGGTCACCAGATCTCTCTCCCGTGTCCATGTTTTTTTTCCTTGGTCTGAAATTCCATGACCTCTTTCTCACATGGGGTCCCCTCTTTGTCCCTCTCTGATCTGACGAGCCCTGTGTACCTGGACATTCTTGGTAGGAGTGTCAGATGTTAACATTTACTACACTCAGGCACTGGACCAGGAGCATGACATGCAATGGGCCAATCTTTCCTCAACACCTCCAAGAAAGAAAGAGTTTTATCTTCACTTCCCAGAGCCAGGATCTGAGCCTGAGATTGATTGCCTCTGCTCCACCTACCCTCCCCCCCCACCTTGCCAGACTTTATCATGCTATGATGTCATTCTTTGTGTGTGTTCGTTTTTGCTAATAGACTCTTCAGCTTTTAGAGCATTGATTTTTTTTTTTAATGAGTCCATACTGGAGCCCAGAAGCCCAAGGGCAGCCAGGTTCCTTCATCTAAGATTTGAATTGTTTACCAAGAAGAGCTTGCTTGTCTCCTTTGGCTGGACTCCTGTTATCATCAAAGTGGTCAGATCTGCTGATAGCAATGGCTTTGCCCACCATTGATGTCTTCATTCTGTCACCTTGAGCTTGACCTTCTTTCTTTATTTTTTAATGTTGTTTGTCTTTGGAAGCACTGGGGTTCAAACTCAAGGCCTCATTCTTGCTGGCCAGATGGTCTACAAAGCCACACTCCAGTCCTTTGTGCTTTAGTTACTTATTGAATAAAGTCTTGTACTTTTTTTTTTGTTGGTCATGGGGCTTGAACTCAGGGTCTAGGCGCTGTCCCTGAGCAATTCAGTTCAAGGCTAGTGCTCTACCACTTGAGCCACAGCTCCACTTCTGGTTTTCTGGTACTTAATTGAAGATAAGAGTGTCATGGACTTTCCTGCCCAGGCTGGCTTTGAGCCATGATCCTCAGATCTCAGCCTCCTGAAGAGCTAGGACTACAGGCATCAGTCACTGGCACCTGGCAAGTCTTGTACTTTTCATCCTGATCTTATCCTTGATCTTCCTACCTTCACCTCCTAAGTAGCTGGGATTATGGACTTGCACAACAGCACTTGTCGAGAGCTTGACCTCTTGATATCCACTTCTGTGGCACTTGGGCTTCCAACATCTAGAAGTGCTAGGAAATTATACTGAACCATAGGACAGGATCACCAGAACCCCTTTGGGCTGCAGCTGTTACTGCTGAACATCCTGGCTGAGCAGCCTGAGGGCAGTGGCACTGTGCTGTTCACTAATCCTTCTGCCAACTATTCCTCTACCAATTGAGCTCTGAGAAGTGCTCTTATCTAGAAATCAAAGGGCAAGACAGTCCACAATTGCCACCTGTCACCTTCTGCCACTACCGAAAGCCACACCCCTTGTTTGGAATATGTGAACAGAAGTCCATCCTACAATGGCTCACTATGCTCCCCTATGCTAGAAGACTGAGAATAAAGCCTGGGCTAGAATGCTGAGTCAGCCCAGCATGGTGGTACATAGCTGGAATCCTAGCACTCAAAAGGCTGAGGCAGGAGGATTGCCAATTCCAGGCTAAGTGGGAGCCTGTTTCAAAGATTACACGTTTGGAAGTAAAACTGTGGCTCAAGTGATAGTGTGGCTAGTGCTTTGAGCAAAAAAAGCTAAAAGACAGCCCTCAGGCCCTAAGTTCAAACACCAGTACTGGCACACACAAAAAGTAAAAATAAAAGTTTTGTGGATGGATTGATGAATGGATGAGTGGAAAGATAAAAATATAGCTGGATGGATGGATGGGAAGATAGGAAGGTGGATGGGTGAATGGATGGATGGATGGGAAGATGGATGGGAAGGTGGATGGGTGAATGGATGGATGGATGGGGAGATAGGAAGG